TTTAGATGCAGTTTCGCTCTTGTTGCCCAGGCTGGAGTGCAATGGTGTGATTGCCACTCGCCACAACCTCTGCCCCCCAGAATCAAGCAATTCTCCTGCCTCAGCCTCCAGAGTTAGCTGGGATTACAGGCATGCGCCACCATGCCCAGCTAATTTTGTATTTTTAGTAGAGATGTGGTTTCTCCTTGTTGGTCAGGCTGGTCTCGAACTCCTGACCTCAGGTGATCCACCCATCTCAGCCTCCCAAAGTGCTGGGATGACAGGCATGAGCCACTGTGCCCAGCCTCAGGTATTTCTTTATAGCAGTGTGAGAATGGCCCAATACAAAGACCAAACCCCTGGCTAGACATGGGGTAGCTCATACCTGTAGTCCCAGCACTTTGGGAGGCGAAGGCAGGAAGATTGCTTGAGCTCAAGAGTTTGAGACCAGCATGTTGAGGGCAACATGGTGAAGCTCTGTCTCTACAAAAAATACAAAAGTTAGGTAGGTGTGGTGGCACTCTCCTGTAGTCCCCGCTACCTGGGAGGCTGAGGTGGGAGGATTGGTTAAGCCTGAGAAGTTAAGTCTGCATTAAGCTGTGACTGCACCACTGCACTCCAGCCTGGGAGACAGAGTGAGACCCTGTCTCAAAAATAAATAAATAAATAAATAAAAGACCAACCCCTTCTCTTCCTCCTCCTCAACCCACTCAAAGTGAAGATGACAGCGAAGACCTTTATGATGATCCATTTCCACTTAACAAATAGTAAATACATCTCCTTTTTCCTATGATTTAAAAAATAACATTAAAGGTACTCACAATATTTATTGAATAAATGAAGATGTTTTATGGGCAGGTCTAAAACGTGCCTGTCATACGTTATATTGTTTCTATAGGACAAAAACATCCTTGACGCACTTTATTAATTCATTTGCAACTTAGCTATTGCTTCATATGGAGCTCCAGCTGATTATACTCTGTCTGGATGAAATCTTCAGGTTTCCATTGGTGAATATTGACTGTTTTCAGTGAGCAGCATAAAGAATAGGATGAATTTCTAAAAATTTAGGTAATCTTCCCAATACACTAGTAAGATATATTTATTTTTTAATTTAAAAAAATTTTGGAGACAGTGTTGCTCTGTTGTGCAGACTGGAGTGTAGTGGTGTGATCTCGGTTCACTGCAACCGCTACCTCCTGGGCTCAAACGATTCTCCTGCCTCAGTCTCCCGAGTAACTGAGACTACAGGCATACATCACCATGCCCTAAATTACTGTAGTTTTTAGAAGAGGCAAGGTTTCACTATGTTGGCCAGGCTGGTCTCAAACTCCTGGCCTCAAGTGATCCCTCTGCTTCAGCCTCCCAAAGTGCTGAGATTACAGTGTGGACCACTGCACCCAGCCCACACCAGTAAGAGTTAGGCAGAAGTTAGCCTTACTGTCATAAAATTTATGCATTCTAGAACTCCATTCCCTTCATAACGTACCTTAGGTAGAACACCACACATAAAAAGAGAATCTGATTCTTAGTTTATTTTACAAATAAAATAACAAACAAACCAACATCCCTTAGAATAAAATAAAACCCCAAATCTTACCTCCAGTGTCTTATCCAAGTTGGCAGCTAGCTTTCCAATTTCATACAATAGCTGGGGGCTGATGGGAATCTCAGCGATGGGTCTTCCTGGGAGGTAAGTCAGCAGCCTCACCAAGTAGCTTTTGATTTCAGAGCCACTATCTAAATGGATGAAATGAAATATCCTGTCAATTATTCTAAATATATATAGATAGGTAGATAATTAGATGTAATAGAATTAGAAGCTATTCTGCCTTTGCAAGTATTACTGAAAAGAACAGAAATTAAGGGCCGGGCGCGGTGGCTCAAGCCTGTAATCCCAGCACTTTGGGAGTCCGAGGTGGGTGGATCACGAGGTCAAGAGATCGAGACCATCCTGGTCAACATGGTGAAACCCCGTCTCTACTAAAACTACAAAAAATTAGCTGGGCA